TCTTCATAAGGTGGACGTCCTGTTATCAGATCCACTGGCAACCAAAGTTCCCGACCAAACATCAGCTTTCCTGAAGTGTATCCAGTGGCTTCATGCTCTGCTGTTCTATAGGCCATCGACAGTGGAGGGAGTAAGACATCCCAGTCATCTTGACGGCTATTACAAAACTTAACAAATTCCTGTCCCAGTGTCCAATTGTACGTTTCTACCATCCCATCAGACTGTGGGTGAAGTGGCATTGTCCTGGTCTTTCGTATGCCAAACAACTTGCAGCATTCATGGAACACAGCTGATTCAAAGTTACGGCCTTTATCTGAATGCAGTTCGTATGGCATACCAAACCTGAAGAAAAAATCACTAATAGCCAAAGCTACAGTTGTAGCTTCCTGATTTGGTATTGCATATGCCTCAGGCCACTTGGTGAAATAATCCATCACCACACAAATGTACCTGTTTCCAGCACAAGTTTGGGCCAAAGGACCAGCAATGTCAATGGCTACTCTTTACAGTGGTGTGCCAACTTGATATAACTTCATTGGAGCACGTCCCTTATGCTTGGGTCCCCTTTTGGCACAACATATACTGCATGTCCTGCACCATTCTTCCACATTTTGCCTCATACTTATCCAGTAAAATCTCTGCCGTAGTTAACTCAATGTCTTCTTTACTCCAAGATGTCCTCCTGTTAGACTATCATGGGATTGATGCAGTACAACTTCCCGTAACTTTCACGGTATAACTGTTTGCCAGGTCGTCACTTATCATCTCTGGAGAACAATACGATCTTCAAGCTTCAACTGGTCCCATTGTGCCCAATAGTTCTTTGTGACAGGGCTTAAGCTTAATGTCTTTGGCTCAGTCCATCGGCATTTCCATGAGATTTTCCTTCTCTGTATTCATTATCATAATTATACTGGTCTATCTTTCCACTCCAATGTGCCAGTTGTCGCTCTGGGTTCTTTAATGATCTTAACCAGCGTAATGCAGCATGGTCTGTCCTTATGGTAAACCTCCTAGCCCCATAGAGGTAAGGATGGAAATATGTCAGACTCTTTTCTATAGCAAGGAGTTCCCTCCGTGGTACACAGTAGTTCCTCTCTGGTCTACTCAAAACCATACTGAAATAGGCCACCACATGCTTTAAAAGTGGAGCTGAGGCCAATTTTTCTTTCAATGTCTTGAAAGAATGCTGGCAAGAAACAATCCATTCGAACTTCTGGCCTTTTTTGGTCAAATAGTGTAGTGGAGCAGCTATAGTTGTAAAGTCCTTCACAAACTTCCGGTAATAAGTACAGAGTCCCAAGAAACTTCTTAACTCTCCCACATTGTCTGGTGTTGGCCAATCACACACTGCTTTCACCTTGTCAGGATCAGTCCACACACCATGCTCACTTACAATGTGACCCCAGTAAAGTACCTCTTTCTGGAACAAGTGGCATTTCTTGGGATGGAGTTTGAGGTTTGCTGCTTTCAAATGCTTGAATACTTT